AGATGCTGCCAGACCTGCTGAGCTTTTCCAGCAACTTCTGGTTTTGTTCCTGATTTACAGCATCCGTAGTTCTTTCGGTTTTTATTTAAAAAGAAATACCAAATGTACTTCCTTGATCAAAATTTTAATTTAAGGCAGAATATTTTCCATAAACCATACCATCACCTAATGTAACTGATTTATTACATACTGTACAAAATAATTCAGTAATTTCAAATCTTGAAATTTGAACAAGAAGACTGAACCAACCTTTTACTTAACATTTTCTGTCTCCTTTCTAACACACTTTTAAACAGAGTTTTTATGAGGTGCATATTATTTACAAACTGTCCAAATTATTTGCATATAAAGGATGACTTTTTCTTCTGGTGGAAAATATAACATTCACTACTGATTTCCTTGTGCTTACCATATTTGTGACACATGCAAATGAGTTGCAAACAGTCATCCCTCTCTTTTTAGTCAATGATGTCTCTTGTATTTCATTGAAATTTAAACCGCTTCCAATTCATATAAAACTGAATAAAACATCAAGTACAGACTATACATTTGATAGTCTAGCGTTGAGGATATTACACTTGATATTGTATATATGAAAGCTTCCATTCATACAGTATCTACATAATGGTAAGGAAATGGTGCATTCCATCTTCAGTATAAATTGCACCATTGCACAGAAATCAGAAAAAATCTTCCCCTTCGAATACATATATTTTTGATAATCAGATTAAAATTAAATCCCTAGCCTCCTTGCCTGTGAACTGAAGATGGCTTCGTAACATTGATATTAGTTGGATACGTTAAAAGGAAATATGCTCACAACTCCAAAGCAAATTTTGATAGATTATCGAGGGAAAGCAAAACATGTGATGTGGAGACACTGGCATGAACTAGTCCCTCTTGGAATTAGTTAGGATAGCAATGTCTGCACTTGCTGTGGAGATCGTTGCAGGATTGTTGCTGGTTCCTTGTACTCATTGGTTGGGTTTATCACTGCTGTGTAGATGTTGCTGTAGGCACCACACACTAGTTCTGTGGATCGCTTGAAAATTCTTTCCCTGCAAGTTAGAACAGAAATTGTCAAAAAAAAAAGTAAAAATCTGAGCATGAACAAAGTACATGTACAACTGGGCCAGCAGCTATGCAATTTTCTAATACCTTCGCTTTTGGAGGATTGATTTCAATAATTGAGACAACATTTAGTTCACAGGTAGAATCTGACAATTCTAAAGCCCTCCAAATCATTTCCCTAGTTTTCACTTTCAGATTCTGGTTGACCTGCTGTGCATTTCCATTATGTTCTAGCTTTAATTAAGATTTGCAGCATTGATCCTTTTATTAGTCTTAGCTATATTATAACAGAATGAACAAATTGTTTTCCACTTGGCCTTTATGTTTTTATTCCCACAAAAAGGGCTGAAAATCATCAAAAAGAGCACTAATACATTTTAGAAAAAATTGCTTTCAATCTTTCACATATACTCACTTTAGTGTTCCACTTAAAATGAAATTCAGTTGTGGCATTAATAGACTATCAGGAGAGGCCAGATAGCGATCAAACTGGACCTAAAAAACACACATATTCAATTCAATTAGACCGATATTCAAAAGTATGTACTATTTTTCCCATGTTAAACTACTGAAGATTTGCAATAACTAAGGAATTGACTTTTTTAAATTAGCAAGATTTGCAGAAATAAATTATTCACTTCAATATTGATTTAAACTCTGGAACTAATGCGAAAAAAATCCATAAAGAAGCATTCTGTTTGTTGGTAATTTTGTTGTGCCATTATTAGTCCAACATTTTTTTAAACAATTGATGGGATATGGGCATCATTAGCTTAGCCAGCATTTATTGCCTGAACCTAATTGTCCAGAGGGCAGATATGACTCACATGTAGACCTGGTAAGGGTGGTAAATTTCCTTTCCTAAAGGATGTTAGTGCTTTAGAACCAGGTGGGTTTTTATGACAATCAATTAATTAATGGTTTCCATCAGATGAGTGTTTTAATTCCAGATTTTACTGAATTCAAATTTCACCATCGTCATGGTGCACCAATGTCCCCAGAAGCCCAAACCTCTGAATTCCTAGTCCAGTGACAGTACCATTATGCTATCCCCTTCCTTTTCAGAACATTGAACAGAAAGACACTATGAGCCACAGTGATGGTAGTAGAAAACTAACACGTTGGCTCAGCCTCCAATATCAATATCAAGGGACTCCAGCTCAGGCACAGCTCATATCCTGGATGTAGTGCAAAGTTCCTCCATCTTGTCATTCCTACATCCTAAGCACAAACTCACAAGAGTAATCATGTGTTCTACCATGGTAAATATCACAATTTCCAACAGTAGCTGTTGCAATGGTTTCTGATAAAGGATCTGCATAATAGTAGATTGTATATAGTGTTTTGCTGCAGGCTAGAGAATAATCGGAATTATTTAGTGTGAGACCCTTAAAGGCAGCAATGTGAGAGAGAGAGAGAGAGAGAGAGAGAGAGAGAGAGAGAGAGAGAGAGACAGACAAACAAATGACTAATTCAGCAGCCTCATCTGTGCAACTATTTACAGAGACAGTTGAAGGTTTTCTGAAAAGAAATCTTTGAAACAGTTGCTCCATCCTCAAAATCTTTGGAAGCCTCAAATATTCTCCACAGGTTTTTTTTTTTTTTATTCATTCAGAGAACGTAGGCATCATTGACTGTGTCAACATTTATTGTCCATCATTAACTGCCCTTGGGAAGGTGGTGATCAGCTGCCTTCTTTGACTGACCCAGCCCATTCAGTACAGGTACACCTAAAATGCTATCAGGAAGGTAGTTCCAGGATTTTGATCCAATGACAGTGAAGGGATGGTAATATATTTCCAAGTCAGGATGGTGAGCAGTTTAGAGGGGGTCTTGCAGGTGATGCTGCCCCATGTATCTGCTGCCCTTGTCCTCCAATATGGAATGGTTGTGTGTTTATTGGGTGTGGTCTAAGCAGTTTCGGTGAATTTCTAAAGGGCATCTTGCAGATGGTACTCACTACTGCCACTGGGCTCCAGGATGGAAGGAGTGAATATTTGTGGATATGGTACCAAACATGTTGGCTGCTTTGTCCTGGATGGTTGTTGGAACTGCATTCATCCAGGGGAATCTGAAGGTGAGTTACTCACTGCAGGAGTTCTAACAGCTGACCTGCTATTGTAGTCACATTATTTATATGGCTATACCCCTCTCTGATTATGCCATATCCCAGTCCCTCTGATTACATTTTGACAACCCAATCATATATTTGATCATTGCTTGGTCTTCAAATTAATAGGGTGATAGGTAATTTGGATTGATTTTATTCTGATGAAAAACAGTGCTTGCTAAAATTCACTTTTAACTGAGATTTTCCAATTTTATTACCTCAATCAACAAAATAAATAGCTGAAATCATATAAATGCTGCTCTGTTTATTAACTTCTATTTTATAAAATGAGACAAATTGCTCATATGTAATTTATTTTCTCTTAAGCATGCTTTGTCCTACAGCCATGTTGCAGAAATGTGATTGACAATGCTAACAGAATTCAAACTTTTGTATGGGTTTACCTTAGTGCTGTTTGCTTTAGGGTATATTTTCAGGTAAAGTTGAAACTAGACTTAGGTAACGAGCACATACTGTCAAGATCAGAGGCAAATGTTACCTAGGTAAATGTTTGTTTGAAAAATGCAACCACGCCTTTGGCCTTGGTTTTGGAGCAAGCTAGGCTTCTGCTACTGGCAAATATTTAATATATACCTTGTTAGATTTTGAAGTCATAGTACAGTATCTATTAACAGAAAGTGTTAGTCAATGAAACATTGGGTAATTTTCAATTTAAATTGCAACAAATATATGATTTAAGCGAAATAAAGAAGATGGTGTCAATACTCAAACTAACTTCAACTCAGACCTTTCTTGCTTTTCAGTACTGGAAGGATGAGTAAATACAAACATGCCAAAGCCAAGTTGGGAATGGGAGTTGGGACACCTCAGACAGGGACTGTCATCCTTGTTTCGTTGTTCCACCAGGCTCATTCTAGGTTTAAACACAGGTCCCAAATAATGCAATAAAAAAGATCTAAATCCTGTGTCATGTAGTGCAATATGTGAATTAATTCATATTAAGTAAGTCAAATATTCAGGAGAAAATTCAGGTATTCACAAATTTGGTCCCAGATTAAAGAAATAACATAACCCATTCAATTGCTACATGTAAAAAGGTATCCTTGTTATATTAATACATAAAAAGAATTAATGACCTTATTTAACTCAGATTTCCCTTCAGTGTTTTCGTGTTGATATGCTGGAATTCCAGCAGAGACGCAAGGAAGGAAATGGCCTCATATGGCACAACACAGTTCCTGAAGCCACTTCCTGTCCACAATGACTAGACAAGTGTTTCTTGTGCACTCAGCAAGATCTGGTTAAATTTTTGATCAAAGTAAGAATAAAAAAACACTTTGCTCATCTTAAAACAACAATATTTGACTTTATAAATACTAAGATCATGTTGTACACAGAACTTGGTGCATTAACATTGCTTTTTGTGCAGTTAACTGCATGCGATCGAAGAGTAATGATTTATGTTTCAGCAACATTTGTTGCCATTATAAAGCACAAAGGAAGCACACTTTAGTCATAACACAGATAGAGCGACCTGGCTCACATGATTATTCCCTTTTCATTCTTTTTGTTAGCTTTCCTGTAATTTGTTTTTGGACGGGGACTACATTATAGCTGAGCCACTTTCAGGAAATTACAAAAAAGGTTCATTTTGGGGCAGAAAAGAACCATTCAATATGAGAATAAGATATATGTGCTTCGGTTACCACAACAAAAGGTGATTTATTAATGAAAAGGAAGTTGGTTGTTTCTAAATACATTTGGAGACATGTTTGTATATAAATATTGCACAATGATGTTTCCAAGTACCTTGCAGGATCAACTGGCAAGTCAAACAAATTGTACCTTTATTACTGCTCTGAACACATTCAAATTTTAGACAGAAATAATCAGAATTCCAGTTTTATCTTCACAATATATTCTGTCTGAAAGGATTCAAAACTACAGTTAATATGATGAAAAATGTGAGAGATGTGGTCTTTATTCAGTATATGTCATATTGTTTCTCTGATGATGCTGTACTGAATCATTGCATCTTATCTCAGTGGTAGGGCTCTTGATTTGAAGTCAAAGATTGAGCTCCAAAGGCAACATCAACAGAATTAGGCTGGCAGTTCAGTATAATGCTGAGAAAGTGCTGCACTGTTAGTGATACCTTCCTTCAGGTGAGATATTAAAATAAAAACCCAACTCAGATGGATATAAAGGCTTCCATTACACTATTCAAAGAACAGCATTGAAGTTTGAGCGATGTATATTTCCCTCGATGCTATCCCAAAAGCAAATTATCTGACTAGAATGACTGAATCATGGAAGAGGTCCTTTGGCTCATCAAGTCTGTTTGCCAAAGCTACATTAAATCTACAACAGACCCACTTTCCAGCACCAGGTCCATAGCCTTGGATGTTATGATATTTTGTCATCCAAGTATTTTTTAAGGGTTGTGAGGTTACCCGCCTCAACTAAGCTTCCAGGCAGTGAATTTCGGACCCCCACCATCCTGTGTTTTCCTCAAATTCTTTCTAAACTTCCTGCTTTTCACCTTAAAATTATACCCCCTTGTTACTGACCCTTTGACAAAGGGTAACAGCAGCTTTGTATTCACTCTATCCATGTTCCCCATAATCCTATACAATTCTATCAGGTCCTCACTCAACTTTCTCTGCTCTAAAGAAAACAACTTGAGCATATTCAGCCTCTCTTCATAGATAAAGTGCTCCATCCTTGGCAAAATCTTGCTGAACCTTCTCTACACACCCTCCAGTGCAATCATATCCTTTCTACAGTGCAGAGATTTACACTGTACATGGATTTCAGCTGTGGCCAAACAATGGCCTGTATAGCTTCAACATAAACACCCTGCTCTCATAATCTATGCTTTGACAAATATAGGCAACTGTCCCTTATGTCTTCTTAACTAACCTATTAATCTGCCTGCCACCCTCAGGGACTTGTGGACAAACACCACGAGATCCTTCTTTCCTCTGAGCTTCCTAGTGTTCAGTCATTCATTGTCTTGTTTCTTCTTCTTCTAACTTTCATCACTTCACACCTTTCAAGGTTAAATTTCATCTGCCACTGATCTGCTCATTTAACCAATCCATTTATATCCTCCTGTAACCTAAGACCTCCTTCCTCACTGTCAACTACCCAGCCAATCTTTGTGTCACCCACAAAGTTATCATCCCTACCCACTCCCACACTCATCTACATTGCTTATAAGTATCAAGAACATTAAGGAATGCCACTGGTCACTGGCCTCCAGTCACACAAACAGTCTTCTACCAACACCCTCTGTCTCCTGCAACTAAGCCAATTTTGGATCTAACTTGTCAAGTTACGTTTTAGCTTCTTTATCAGTCTCCCATGCGGGAGCTTGTCAAAGGCCTTGCTGAAATCCATATAAATTGCATCAACTATATTACTCTCCCTACACACTAACATTCCCATTTCTCGATAGTATAACAATGATTATGCGATAGAATGTTTAATTAGCTGTAGAGCATTTTTTTAATTCATTCATAGGATGAGGGTGCTGGTGGCTAGGCAGCATTTATTGTCCATCCCTAATTGCTCAGAGGGCAGTTAAGAGTCAACCACATTGCTGTGGGTCTGGAGTCATATGTAGGCCAGACCAGGTAAAGATGGCAGTTTCCTTCCCTAAAGGACATTAGTGAACCAGATGGGTTTTTCCAACAATTGACAATGGATTCACAGTCATCATTAGATTCTTAATTCCAGATATTTATTGAATTCAAATTCCACCATCTGCTGTGACGGGATTCGAACCCATGTCCCCAGAATGTTTTCTGGGTCTCTGGATTAACAGTCCGGTGATAATACCACTAGGCCATCGCCTCCCCATTTCTGGATGCCTAGAGTTGTGTACGGCAAAACATATGTGCATGTTCTTTAGTTATTACCTCTAGTGTAAGTGGGGGTCAGTTTGCTATGTTGGCTGGACAGATGGTTTGCAATGCAGAGTGATACCATCAGAGTGGGCTCAATTTCCTCACCAGCTCAGTTTACCATGAAGGACTCTCCTCTTTCCTTCTGTCTGCCAGAGGAGTGCTGACCCACAGGTTAAGCCACTACCAGTCATCTTTCTCCAATGAGACAGCAGCCTGATGGTCTGGTAAGACAATGGCACCTGTACTTATAGTAGTCTATTCTGAAAATTTCATCAAAATATTTATCAACTGGAAAGAAAAGTGTACGTTTGGCTTTAAAGTGCCTTTAATAAACTTGTATTTATACACAGGCAGTCATAAGAAAATACAAGAACCAGCAGGAGTAGGCAATACTGCCCCTTGAGCCTGCTCTGCTGTTCGATATAATCATGACTGATCTCATTTCAGCCACAATTTCACTTTCCTGTCGTTCTTCATAACTCTTCAACCTGTTTCTAATAAAAAAAAATCTATCTCATCCTTTTAAATCTGAGATAGATACATTTTTGTTAAGCAAAATATTAAGGGCCAAAGACAATCACACCCAAATCTCATTGAATGGTGGAACAGGTTTGAGGGGCTGTAGGGCCTACTCTTGTTCCTATGTTCCTCGAATTTGCTCAGCGCTGGTATCCATCACACTCTGGGGTAGTGAATTGTACGGATTCACGACTTAAACTATTAAAATCCAAAACTGACAAGAAAATTATTAATAATATTTACCTCTGCTCAATGACATGAAACACAACTGAAGTTAAAAATGTGGTTTCACTTTGTTCTGAAACTTTAACAAGAAAACAGAGTAGTCACTCTGCACCACAGAATATAAACGTCATTGGTATTGTGTCCCATCAGGATTAACTCGACTTAGTTTCAATTATCTTTAAGTCTGAAAGTTATTTTTTGAACTATTTCCACAAAATAGGGTTCTTGAACTGTGTTACTGCAGAAGAGCTGAAGGAGGGGGCTGCTTGTGAAAAAGCAGTAGATCAGGGTTGAAATATGTTGAATATTCTGGAGCCTCACTTGTCACCTTTGGAACCAGACAGGAATTCTGCAGAACTCTGCATGGAAAATTAAACAGGAACGGAACAGAAGACTTGTAAAGATTATACATTTCTTGTTGAAGAGATAGGCTTGATGAACAATCTTTTCTTGTTCCATGCATTCTTAAGCTACATTTTTTCTCGTGTCATCAATACTTTATCAAGGTGTGGAATGTTATATTGTTCATCAATCCTCCATGAGCAATCTTCAAAGAAATAATATTGCTACATGAAGCAACATGAAGAGGTGCATTTCAGCTAACAGAGTCAGAATGATTAGAAGTACATGGGTTGGATCAAAATATAGTTGACATAAAATACGTTGCAATTATAGAATAGGATTAATATATGCTAATTAACTTTGCTCTATTCAATTATTTACAATGATTACAAATACTTTGTTGTTCAACCCACTTACCATGGCAGCTTTCAGTGACCCTCCATCCATATTAGGGAGATTGGATAAAGGACCCTAGCCAACAGGACAAAATGTAGTTTAGAAATGTGACATAATTGGCTTTTTTGGCATTAAATGGACGTGATAAACTGCATATACAGTTATTTACCTGCTCTGGTTTGTGTTGTTGTACGCTGTTGTAAATGTAGCTTAATCCTGCCCTGGTTAATACAAATGAAGCCTGCTCATTTATTAAAGTATCTAAATGAGCTTCAATCTGCAGAAAGAAAGTAACAACTCATAAACAAACTCTGAATCCCATTCACATAGTATTAAGAATAGAGCTTATGAATTGCCAAGTTGTGATTCAACTTGCATTCCATGATCATATCAGTTAAATTGTTTTCAGATCATGCTACGGGAGCAGTCCAAACATGCCCCAAACGGTTCCATTCAAAACCAGAGAACGTCCTGAGTTGAACTATGAAATGCAAGTATGCTCGAGTCCACAGCTGTTTCTAGGTGATTTCTCTTAAACATGCATTCTGTTGCAACTGTAACAAATTATTTGGATGTTTTACATGAAAAAACAGGTTCAACACACTTGGCTTCCATTTCAGAAGAAATAAGTACACATACTACGAATTAGCAGTTTTTTTAAAATCAAGTACACATGTCAGCTATGATTCAACCGGTAGCACCTTCAACCCTGTGTCAGAAGATTATTGGTTCAAATCTCAATTAAGCTCAAAAATCAGAATGTACTTCCCAGTGAGGGAGTGCTTCACTGTCAGAGTTTTTGAGACGGAACGTGAAACAGGGGCCCTGTCTACACTCTCAGTCAGCATAAAAGATCGCATGGCATTATTTTAAATGGGAGTTATACCCACTGTCCTGGCCAATGCTTCTCACAAAACAAAAGCAGTATCATAGTGCTGTTTGCAAAAGTTCTGCTGAGTGAAAACTGGCTACCATTTTGTACATTAGCAGATTAGAAACAAATAACTGGAATAAAGTGGCAAGCAGTGACTAGAGGTGAACCACGGGGATCAGTACTTGAACCCCAGCTTTACACAATATATAATGATAATTTTGATGAGGAAAGTAAATGTATTATCGCGAAGTCTGCAGATGTCAGAAGGCTGTATATGGGCGGGGAGGATGAGCTGTGAGGAGAATGCAGAGATGCTTCTGTGTGATTTGGACAAGTTGAGTGAGTGAGCAAATGTATGGCAGATGAACTATAAGAACACTATGGGCAATTTAGCATAGCCAATCCACCTAGCCTGCACATCTTTGGACCATGGGAGGAAACCACGCAGACACGGGGAGAATGTGCAAACTCCACACAGACAGTCGCCTGAGGGTGGAATCAAACCCGGGTCCCTGGCGCAGTGAGGCAGCAGTGCTAACCACTGAGCCACTGTGCTGCCCAATGTTCTGACTTTGGACAGGGTGTAACAAAGGTTTACCAGACTGATTCCTTGAAAGGCAGGACTAATGTATAAAGACACACTGGATGAGTTAGGACTATATTCATTGAAGTTTAGAAGAATGAGGGAGGATCTCATAGAAATCCATAAAGTTCTAACAAGATCAGACAAGGTGAACAGTAGAAGGATGTTCCTGATGACTGGGTAGTCCAAAACCAGCAGTCTAGGATACACTGCAGGTCATTTAGGCCTGAGGTGAGGAGAACTTTCTTTACTAGAGAGTGGTGAGCCTGTGGAACTCTCTGCCACAGAAAGAAGTTAAAGTCAAAACATTGAATGTTTTCATGGAGTCAAATATAGATTTTAGGGCTAAAAGTATCAAAGGGTATGGGGAGAAAGCAGGAGCAGGGTACTGAGTTGGGTGAACAGCCTTGATTGTATTGAATGGAAGAGAAGGCTCAAAGAGCCAAATGGCCTACATCTGCTCCTATATTCCACGCTCCTATGCTTTTTGTATTGGCGGACTGAAATATAAATGCAGAGAAGTCTTGTTACGACTGTACAGGGAATTAGTGAGACTGCACCTAGAGTACTACATAGAGTTTTGGTCTTTTACTTAATAATGGATGTAGCATTATAAGCAGATCAGAGAAAGGTCACTAGATTAATTCTGGGATGAGGGATTATCCTATGAGGAAATATTGAGCAGGTCGGGGCAATACTACTAGAGTTCAGAAGAAAGGAAGGTGATCTCATTGAAACATATATGATTCCGAAAATCATACAAGGTTCTCTCTTGAAAGGGAACATGTTGAAAGGATGTTTCTTTTCTTGAGGAATCAAGAACTGGGAGCACAGTAATAGCATAAACGGGTCTCTTATTTAGGACAGAGGTTAGGGAAAACTTTTTATGGAAATCATTTTTCTTTGGAATTCTCTTTCAGGGAACTGTGGAGCCTGGATCATTGAATATATTCAAATTTTGAGTTAATTTCTGATTGACAAAGGAGTCAAGGGTTATGGAATCAGGCATGGGAAGTGGAGTAAAGACCGCACTCAGATAGCCATGATCTACTGAATGCTGGTGCAGGCTCGATGGGCTTTCTACTCTTATTTCTTATGATCTTAAGTCTTTCATTCTAGAATAATACTTTCAAGGCAAGTTCTATTACCAAGTGTAAAAGGGGGAAATATGTAGGTGGTATTTCTGCTGTCTATGAAAACCACATGCTCAAACATTTGAGTTTAATTATAGCACAACAATAAATCTAAACAGGGATGCTTTGGAAAAACAACCTTCAGATTAAGAGGACAGTAGAGACAATTTATTAAAAAATAAATCCAAGGGAAAAAAATCGCAAATAATTAACAAAAGTGGAAATGTACAATCTAGTGCAGAGTAAAGGTGAGCCTGAAACGAGGAGTGCAGTTGAATAAGCAAATCATTAACAATAATAAAACTAGTCAGTTGGTGAATAACTAAGCACAGCATTTTTTAAATGTAAGTAATACATACAAATAGAGAGGAAGGGAGAAACATGCCATAAGAAAATAATCTCAGTCCTTGCCACTCTGAGATAGTTGCTCTTCACAACTTTGACAGCAATTTCCCTACCCACCCCTAAGTTACCTCAGTGAAGGATGCCCTAGCCCAATCATTAGCTCTGTTTGGTGCCCACAATCATCCCACAATTCTAATAAAGCCAGGAAATCAAAATTCACATGGGTCTCTTTGATGATAGTTGGGAAGTCAACCATCAGAATTTCCAAAAGTCAAAATCATCTGTAGTTTTGTTAAGGATGTGATGAGAAACTCAATATCACTTTTGAAAAATAAGACAGGTTTCAGTCTGAAATTTTTAACCATATGAGTACATTTCCACTTAATAAAGCTGCGTACCAGTCTTTAAAAAATTGCTTGAAGTAGCTACCTCAACTGGACGTGGGTATCACTAGGCGTGCCAGCATTTATTGCCCATCCCTAATTGCCCTTGAGAAGTTGGCAGTGAGCTGCCATCTCGAACCGCTGTGGTCCATGTCCTGTGAGTTGACCTACAATGCTTTTCGGGAGGGAATTCTAGGATTTTGACCCAGCGACACTGAAGGAACAGCAATATATTTCCAGTTAGGATGGTGGAGCGGCTTGGAAGGGAACTTGCTGATGTTCACATGTATCTGCTGCCCCTTGTCGTTCTAGATGAAAGTGCTCGTGGGTTTAGAAGGTGCTGTCTAAGGATCTTTGGTGAACTTCTGCAGTGCGTCTTGTAGATAGTAAACACTGCTGCCACTGAGTGTTGGTGGACAGACTTTTGGATGTGGTGCTAATCTTAGCAGCTTATTCCTGAATGGTGTCTTGTTTCTTAAAAGCTGTTGGAGCTGCACCCATCTAGTGAAGTTGGAGCATTCTATCATACACCTGACACTTACCTTGTAGATGGTGGACAGGCTTTGCGGAGTCAGGGGGTGAGTTACTCCCTGCAGTATTCCTAGCCTCTGACCTGCTTTTGTAGCCACTCTATGTATTGGCAAGTCCAGTTCAGTTTCTGGTCTATGTAACCCTCAAGATGTTGATAATGGACGTAATGCCTTAGCATGTCAAGAGTGGCGGTTACATTGTCTCTTATTGGAGATGGTCATTTGTGTGGTGTGAATGTCATGTCATTTCTCAGCCCAATCCCGGATATTGACCAAGTCTGGCTGCATTTGAACATGGACTGATTCAGTATCTGAGAAGTTGCGAATGGTGTTGAACATTGTACAATCATCAGCGAACATCCCCACTTCTGGCCTTATGATGGAGAGAAGGTCATTGATGTAGCAGCTGAAGATGGTTGAGCCTAGGACATCACCTTTAAGAACTCCTGTAGGGATGTCCTGAGCTGAGATGACTGACCTCCAACAACCACAACCATTTTCCTATCTCTGGCAGGTATAACTCCATCCAGCAGAGAGTTTGACCCGTTTACATTACTTCCAGTTTTGCTAGGGTTCCATAATGTCACACTTGGTGAAATGTGGGTTTGATGTCAAAGGCTGTCGGTCTCACCTCACTTCTGGAACTGAGCTCTTTTGTCCATGTTTGAACCAAGGCTGTAATAAGGTCAACAGATGAGTGGAACTGGTCGAACCCAAACTGGGTGTCAGCGAGCAGGTTATTGCAGGGCGGGTTCTGCTTGATAACACTGTTTATGACACCTTCCATCACTTTACTAACAATCAAGGGTAAACTGATAGGGCTTTAATTGGCCAGGTAGATGCCAGTGTCATATCTGTAATGGAATAGCTTGGCTTGGGGAGCAGCAAGTTCTGGAGCATAAGTCTTCAGTACAATTGCTGGAATGTTGACAGGGTCCATAGCCTATGCAGTATCCAGTGCCTTGATATCACAACAGATTATTGAAAATGCTTCAGCTTTATCTATTGCACTGGTATCCTGGGCTCTCCCATGATCGAGGATGAGGATATTTCTGCAACCTCCTCTTCAAGTGAGTTGTTTAATTGTCCAACACCATTCACAATTGGGTGTGGCAGGACTACAGAGTTTAGGTCTGATCCACTGAATCAGTTAGGTCTGTTTGCTGCTTATGCTGTTCGGCATGCAAGCAGTTCTGTTTAGTAGCTTCACCAGGTTGATTACTCATTTTTAGATATGGCTGAAGCCACACCTGATATGTCCTCCTGCACTCTTCATTAAATCTTGATTGATCCCCTGGCTTGGCAGTAATGGTAAAGTTGGAGGTATGCTAGACTATGAGGTTGAGAATGCATTGGAGTACAATTCTGCTGCTGTTGTTGGCCTACAACGCCTCATGACTGCCCAGTCTTTAGTTGTTATATCTGTTCAAAATAGTCCCACTTGGCATGTCAATAGTGCCACTCAACACAATGGAGGGTATTCTCAATGTGAAGGTAGGACTTTGTTTCCACAAGGACTGTGCAGTGATCACTCTTACCAATACTGACATGGATAGATGCATCTGAAGCAGGCAAATTGGTGAATATTGAAAAGAAAGCGGACAGCAATGATGTCAGGAGAAATGTTCTCAAAGAAGTAACAAAGGAAATCCATAGGCAATTCTGTCATTTAAATTACACAAAAAAAATGGAAATGTGAAATGAAAGTAAAAAGTGCATGAAATTCAAATTAGGTTAGCCCTAGGAGACGTACCTGAAACTGAAGCATCTCAAGTCGCTCATCAGTAAATTCAAAGAGAGACAAAGTTGTTTTCATCATGTATAGAGAGTTCACCATGTATGTTGCCATGTCAGCAGTGTCAAGGTTACTGGCAGATACAGTACACAACTGTAATAGTGGGTCCATTATACAGGAAAGTACCTGACGGAAGAAAGTTAAATATTTCAGTGTATTTAGTTAGATAAACAGCCTACCTGAGGCTCTAGTGCATGCTTAAAATAGTCATTTGGTAGTACAAAACCTGAATAAGAATTTCTGTACTGTTTTTATGTTAGGTGTATAGGTCATATGTCCTGAGGAGTAGAGGATTGTAATCAATAGCAAGTACCTTTTGGCTGTTTGCAATAAGCAAGGTATTGACTGTACCTAATCAGCCATACTTGCAAAACTGACCACACAGTGTCCAATGTTGGCTGGTTTGCTAAATGGAGTTTCAATTAATTAAGTTTATCCATTTCACTATGTAATGTTTATTCAGTTTTTCCTTTCAAATTTGGCATGACACACAACAGAAAGCAAAAGACACACAACAGAAAGCAAAAGACACAC